CAGTCAAAAGGCTCGAAAGCGAAGTTGAGACGACAAATTTCTAGATATAGCTGATCACTTGGATTAGACGAGAAATGTGGTCGATGTCAGGGGCCGTTCTTCCTTGGCTCAATCTCTTGTAGAGTCATTCAGTTATCAAGGTCATGTTCCTGACCACTTGAGGATTTTGGCCAACAAGACCTAGCCCAAAGGTCAGGGATACTCTTACAGATAATTTGGGCAAATATTGCGCGAATCAAATACTCTATTGCTCATAAACAGATAAGAAGTGGATGATACGGGTGCAGGACAGTAGCGTCACTTCATTTGAGCCTTATAGATAGGATTTCGGACCTCATGTATCGGAACTGTTCCCTTGGGCGCCCCTGGTATTGTTTTGGCAAGACCCTAAAGGGAAAAGCATTATCAACGTTGGGGGAATAGAGCTGTATTGATGAATTGGCTGACCAGTTTTGTGAACATGCACGCATTCAATGGCCGTTCTTCCTTCCGACACGGGTAGAATTCCTAGAACACGTGTGAATTCGAATAGAGAAGTGGAATAGAGATTTTATGTTAGTTGGGAAGACGATATGGTGTGAGTAGGATACTGACTTGGTTGTTCTTCTCCAAACATTGCCAGTGAGCCTCAAATTCCTTTGCGCAGGCGGCACGCATTTTCTCCAGACTGATTTATATCAGTTTTCAACAATTATGTCACAGAATCGGTCAGAAGAGCGTCGAAGAAGAGGGGGGAAACATACAGATCAGCAGCACACCGAGTTACTCTCCTTCCTTCCATCATGCAATCCTCTGGTCTTTTCTTAGACTTGCATAGCATAAAGTCCTCTGTAAGGGGCACCTCTTCGTCAGCAACACTTCATATTATATGGGTCGTATTTAGATAGTGGAAAACAAGTATTCATATAGCCAAATGACCCCCAATTTATAAATGAGATCGTGAAGTAAAATGGTAATATTTAGCCGCAAACGCCAGAGTGGCACGAATATCTTTGACGAAGAAAAGAATAGAGATAAATATCACACACCATTAAATTCCTGACATTTTGCACCAATAAAGAAGCTCGCACTCTTCAACGGAGCACTCGTCGCACCAATTTCATCGACATGAGGCACCTGTTTTGGCATCGGTGCTGGGTTGTTGAATGGCTGGCCGCGCTCGGGGTTATCATAGTGACTCATGATGCAGCCTTAGAAACCAAGGAGGGGTGAAGAAGGTTTCTCAGTGACGAATATAGGATTTCGAGCTCGGCTGAGGATCAGGTCGGAGGAGGTCGAGGTCGAAATTGAACAAAGGAAGGTTGCCGCCTTTTGGAAAACTCCATTCCTTCGAGTACAATCGCCTTCGAGTAAACTACACGGAATAATCTTGATATTCTCACTATGGTAAGCTCAATCATGCTCAAAGATGATGAAACGTGCATCTACTGACGCGTCCTTTGCTTGTTGGTTTGCGTAGTATCGGAGTCGACATAAAGCCGTACAACTAATGATCAAGACTCACAAAGTATGCCTTTTTATGCCCGAAGAGCAACATGACTTTTGACCTTTTATCTGTTTCTCCTCTATCATGATCTCTTGATGCATTTGCCACACCATCCAAACCCGTGCCCACTCACACGGTGTTTCACCGATTCACGACGTGTATCTCGATCATCCAATCCATTAGACGGCAATTTTCTTTCCTTGCCCTCAAGAAATGACCTTCAACGAGGCCAAAGAGCGAGTTCTCTCTGCGCTCACCGAGTTCCCAAACGAGACAGACATTCCATCCATCAACTCCATCAACGACTTTGAGATTTGCGTAGGAAGATGGAGTAAAAAGGTGTGTTGGTTTCACATCACCGTCTTTCCTTCCCCATTATCTGACTCTTGCACCTCGGGGTCACACTCGCGTTTGAAACACTTCCTATCATCTTTTCTCAACCTCCTAAACCTATTCTTCAAACAACGGCCCTTATTCAAACGTTCTCTTTTCTCTTTTTTACTCCCCTAGTCTAGCAGCACAGACGCTTCGGGTGGCAAACTGGAGTTTGAGATCATTGACGGCGAAAAGCGAATGAGGGACGTGTTTAATAAACCCTGGGAAACAGCCTATCTCAAATTTAGGAATTCAGACGGTACGTCTCAGTCTCCAAAGCACCTCTATCAGGCAATACCAACACTAACTCTTCTCCGTTCACTTCAATACAGGGAGCTTCCGACCCGTTCAAGTCAAGTTCGCGAAGCTAGTTGAAGACGACGACGAAGAGGATGAAGAAGCAGTGGACAACTGAGTCATGCTCACCTTCTGTCCCCTCATCCTTCCACTTCTTTAGGGACTTGTCTCCCCTCCTCACTCTCTTCACTTTGGTCCCTAAAAGTTATAATGGTAGCGGCTTCTCTGAACACCTCGCGTTGATCATCGCCTGTACTTCTTACCCTCAAAATTAGCCCCTGCTCTCATGTAGTCACATAATTGCAATTCAACTGGTTGAACGGAGGGACTCTACGCCTCTCATACCCGCATCTATTCGTCTGGCCCAATAAGTTTGCTTATCTAAGAGTGGCCTAATGGGAGCAGGAAATGGAAGTGTATTGAAATGGTACTTGCCGGTTCGGTACAACGGTTCATCATTACTGCAGAAAAAGCCACCCAAATCGGGGAGCATAAGCGGAGAGAAGAGGACACAGTATCTAGGACGGATTGAGCTAGGAAGGCTTTGGAAAGCCAGAGTGAACAGAGTCACAAAGAGGGAAACATCATTCGTTCGGAACAGGGGAGGAGGCATGGGGCCATACAGTAGTTATAAACAAAATAAACACACAGCGCTATTGAGAAGAGGATGGGGAATAGAAATCACAAGAGGGGGTTGGGGAGGGGGATAGGACATAAGGGTGGGATTGAAGGGACGCCGGGAACCTTTTTCACCAGTACGTTACTTGAAGTGCGGGGGAACACACACGGAGTGGGATGCATGTATAGTAAAGTTTGACATAGCTATAGAGACCGGAGACGATAATGTGATTCAAGGAGGATTGAAAACACATGGTTTGAAGAGACCGAGAAACCGGAGCATTGCATCGAGATTTGTTCTTGATGCTTGAGATGGATTTGCCGTACCTGTTATCGTTGGAAGGTTCACTCTCCCCACAGAGGAGAGTAAACTTAGTTGGTAAAAGGGTCGAGGAGCTCGTTCGGTTCAGGCGTGACCTCCTTTGTCCTCCTCCCTTCGTCATCATCATCATCATCCTGATACGAAGCAGGGGTCAAAGGAGTGAAATCGGTGGTGATGCTCAAGGGATGAGGCTTATCCGTGACGGTCGCCTCCCTCGCCATCCCAATATGGCCATTCCCATACGTCCCCTCAGCACGAATCCGCTGAAGCACCTCACCCGTCGAAATCGCGCGTGTGCTTCTCACGGGTAAAAATTTGCCCAACTTGCGTGCGAGCTGGAATCCCGGGTCGTTCCAATTGGCCGCGGTCGTCTCGTCTGCGTCGCCGGTTCCGCTACTGGCGCCTTCGTACGCGACATAGTCGATGTTCCATTCGCGGAGGAAGGATTGGGTGAGGTGGAGGGGTGCTTCGGGGATGAGTTCGTCAATGTAGCGAATGTGGCGTACCGTCTCGAGGCGTTCGAGATGGGTAAAGATGGAGGGCGAGTGGGGTGGAGGCTCTGCAAAGACGCCCACGAGGAGGTGCACGGACGGAAAAGAGTATTTGGCCTGTCGCAAGTTGTGCACAATCCTGTACCATAGTTTTAGAAATCAAAAACGTGTGCAATATAGAGTTGGAAAAAGGAAATACTGACCCTGGGTGCAGGACGTCGAAGAGGCCGGCTATGTACACGCGCACAGGTCTCATGGTAGGTGGCTTGTTGATTTTGTAGCCTCGGAGTAGATCCTCTTTCACATCGGCCGCATTATTATTCATAGCATTATCTTGGTCGTCCAAGTGCTGGTGGAAGCGCTCTGGGTCCTCGTCGGCCTCCTCATCGTCCATACCGGCCAGAGGCTGACCGTCAACCAGTCGCTTGACAAAATTCTGGACGTCTGCGGCGGAGAGACAGGCCGTATTAAAATGTTCGAGCGCTCCTGGGGCTGGAGCTGGCTCGGGCGGTAAAAGAGGAGCCTCGAGCATCATGCTGCTATGAGAGCCGGTCAGGCCCCTGGGGACCAGGAGCGCCGTCTTGAGCAGGTGCGGATTGACGTCCCCAGTCGAGGAGGGGTCGACGCTGTCCTTGCGGGAGGAGCAGGCACCGTTGGTCTGGCGGTTGTTGAAGTGGTTGTGAAGCTCTGAATCAGAAACGACCGAGATGAATTCGAATTCTTCGTTGTCCATGTCGAGGGCCGAACCGGAAAGCTAGGAGGACGAGTGGAGGGAGGCTTGTGCCCATCTCAACGCCATGGCCACACACACTAGACTACACGGAGAGAGACAGAGGTGATACCGTACAGGAGGGGGGCGAGAGAGGGAGCGAGGGGGGGGGGCGAGGAGAGGCGCGAGGAGAGTTGGGGGGCAAGATAGAGAGGGGCGGGATGGCTCCAGGTGAGCTGGCCAAGGTTATAAAACTTTTTAGAGTGGGTTCTTCGATCAGGGCCAGTTGAGCGTGGTGGACCTCCAATACACCGCTTGCTTTGTTCCCATTCTTACTTGCCCCCCCTCGTGTGCTACGCTCGGTCTGTCAAACGCAGGCTCAAAAGCATTGCCATTAATTTGGATGCAGGTTCTCGTCTCATTACACACGTTTAGAGCAGGCAAAGTGGCTCGGTAGCACTCAGGTATCGCCCCTCTCTTTTCTCCCCACTCTGATTTCACGGTGACTCTTGTTATCAAAGTTGATGAAATTTTTGTCTCGTTGAGATTGTGCCGGGCCCCATTCACTCCTTTCGACCGCCAACGCTACCCAGCTCAGGTCAGAACACCAGTCCTCCAGCTTCCCCAGTCAGCCAATACAGCGGTGCTCTCCGAACCATTTTTAAAAACACCCTGTAAAGGCCTTGATGACTGCGCTAGAAATTCGGTGCGTGGTCTTTCCAGCGACGGGGATACCGTGAACCCGATTGCGGAGTATGAGATAATACTCTCGAGCCCTTGGATCAGAATGCTCCAGCCCTGCAATCTTCGTCGACAATAGCGACCACGGTACTCATTGCATCATTTTTTATTTATTTGCCGTGCGGTCCTGCTTCCCTCTCACCACTTTGCACCTACGTAAGTGTGTACAATTACATTTTTTACAAAAGGTTAACTTGAATTAGTCCAGGGTTAAGTTATGCCATAACGAGGGGCTGGGCCGCTAGTCACAAGGGATTGTCATTTTCATCTTCCACCGGTACATCATCAGTCATAGGGTCATTGGATCAGGAGGGTGCCCGCAGTAAAATGGGATCAAGCACGTCCAAGCTCTCTTTTATCCCTACTAATTAAGCCATACTTCCGGGGTAAAACCAACGGCTGGAAATTACAGCGAACGAAAACCTT